CTAATTTAGTAAGCTCTTAATAACTTTAGTAAGCTCTTAATAGAAGGTGATGCACGTTTTCAGAGAGATTGAAAATAGTCTGGGATGGCCTTTCATTCTTTTGATCATGGCAATGAATTTCCTTGGACAAGCTCTGAAAGGTAACATACAGTCAAAAATTACCTACGAAAGACATACAGAAGATAATGCATCTTCCATCAGATTCTAGCCTGAATATCCCATTATACTCAGAGAAGTTCACTGAACCAGCAACATTAGGGTCATGATACATTCTATAGGATGCATCATGACCCTAATGTCACTAGTTCAATGAAAAAATTGATTTACTTTACTATTAAATTTACACTTGAAGTTATTCTTAACATGTTTAAAAAAAAAAAAAAGTGGCAACTCTTCAGAAACCTGTCACCGTTTGGCTGTGAAACAGTAGCAGAGTACGTGAACTGGTAAGCAATGATACTGCTGCTAAAGCACACCCAATTTTTTAGCTAATTGGCTGAAACTAAGAAACATCAAGAAGATCAAGTTTTTGTTATATAGTATTGAACGTCTCTCCCTTCCCCTAAGATCCCGCACACCTTGCACAATAAATCAGTCATCTTTGCTTCAGAGCATTTTAGTTTAAGTTGGGGTAACACATGCATTTGATAGAATGATCTGACAGCTGAGGCTGCCCTGGAACATATATGTATATATATGTATATAATCTGAAAATCAAATGTATTTTTAAGTGGCTTACTTAAAGCTGCACAACTTCAGAGTACTGTTTCCTCATATGTAAAACTGGCCAAATACCTTCTTTCAAGCATATGATGTATCTATTGCTCTTCTGAGGCACACTGAGGCCCTAGCACTGTCGACATCACTTGAGGGCTCTGACAGGAAAGTTAAAAATACAGATACATACGATTGCTGTTAGCTGGCCACCTCATAGCCTCACCAATAGTATACTGGCTGCTTTTGAGACTAGTCTTCTGCCTGCTATCCGTGGTGTTCTCTTTTGTCTTAGCATACTCAGACAGCCATAGGGAAATAATACGCCTATCATACAGGTGCATTTGTACTTACATTTTGCAGCAGAGGTCTGAAGTAGGTGGCACATGGCTCTCAGATGACTTTCAGCTAATGAATGATGCACAGTTTCAATCTAAAGAGCGACTCAGAATTTATAACAAGGTACATGCTACATGACTCATTAGCAGCATGACTTTTGCTTTTTATTTATTTTACAATTCTGCCATTTCCTTGACTTGTACAGTTTAGGAAGTTTGATTATGGCTACACAAACAGTCCCACTTTGTCAGTGTCATTAATGGAGCAGCAGCTGCAAACAGGTTTGACTTAAGTGCAGATACACAGCGGTGTACAACTTGTGGATGTAACACAACTATTCTGTTGTCTAGGAAACAGTCTCTTTCATAATTTCAGTGTATTTAAAACTCTAAAATATGACAATTACCAGTCAGATAATGTTTTTTCTTGCAAGCGTCACAAATATGCATGTGATCATGTAGGCAGATAATAATCATATGTTATCACCCACAACTCATGAGCAAGCACAGTAAGTACAATTAAAGACATAACTACATAAAGTACTTCGAAACGGCTGATCATTTTCCGTTGTTTGGAAATAATCATACTTCTCCCCTAAATCGGATCCCTTTCTGAATCTAAAGACGACAACACTTCTTATAAAAATGCACCATACTATCAAACATTTGATGAACACAACTTTCCAACATCAATGCTTGAAGAACTAGTGATGACAGACAGAGGTGGTAATACATGTTATACACACAAACATATGTGAGTATATATAGATACACAGAAACAAATATATTTTCATGGGCTTCGAACCATGCTGCCTTGTCCATCTGGTCAAAATTTACATGCAGCTCCTTGTTTCAGAAACCTTATACTCAATTAGATATTGTTAAAGAAACTGCAATATGTGAAAAGGAAAATACTGACTCATCCTACAAAACAGGAGAGCAAGTATGATGCTACAAGCGGAGAACTGTTCATACAAGAACTACTGCATAGAAGTGGCTACTCAGTCATGAGTATTCTGCTACTTAACTATCACAGAGATAATTACCAGATCAGCTGTAAATCAAACAGCCTTGAGGCACCTCTGACTTATGTCTGTCACTGGCTGACCACAGAATTATGATGTAGACAAGCCATTAAATCATTTTTGCTCTGTGCTCTTTGGGCCAGAGATTAGGCAGATTCTGGCTCAGGTCAGTTTATGCTGGCCTTAGTGCTGGGATCAAATTCCTTGGAATATTTCTCATTGTTTTTGCTCTTTTAACTGCTGCTGTATATAGAATGCCTATCTGAACGACACATAATATCAGTTTTTTTCCTAAGTCAATCTAGATCTCACTACATGCATAAAACCAGACGAAATTATTTACTCTACTTTGTCGAGTAAATTATTTATTTCATCCTATAGCTCCGCAATAGCCTTGGAAATCTATCTTTTTATTTTTTCAGTCTTGAAGAATCTAGGTAGTTTCTTGACATTTACATAAGAGATGACAGAACTGCATACGCTTTCCTTGTCCTAGCATGCAAACTTAAATAATGCAGTTAGCCTTTTGCTGTAACATAAATAGCCCATTTATTTCTACAAGTTGATTTCTCGTCTAACAAGATTCTGATAAATATCTGCATAACCACTAGCTTCCTCTTCCCAAAGACCTTTTCCAGGGTCTTTCAAAGGCCCAAATACATCATGTTAATCAGTTCTTTTACTGCACAGTTTTCGGATACAATTCTAGTATATTGGTGACAATTTATTCCTCTGTTTCAAGTTGTGCTTGTTTGACTGTATCACATCGCCCAGGAACTTGTATTATTCTAGTTATTTTTATTATTCTGTTTTATCATGCAAGTAAAACCCGTTTTCTGTAACTCTTCACATCGCTCCCAACATCTTTTCAAAGTTACAGTATTTGTTGTCCTTCAACACTAAAACACCTGCAAAGTCCACTGACAAGTCAAAGATTTCTACTAGCAAAATTCAGCCACTTTGTCCTTAAGCTGAAAGGATTACCTAATCCTAATTGCAGTTTCTGGTCTTAGTATACAGGAAGTATTCCTGGAATTTCCAGGAATACAGGAACTTTTAAAAATTTCTGTATTTTCCAAGTCGCCTGACTTCACAGTCTCAAATTCCAGTAACAGTGGCTACAATTAATATGCAGAGAAAAAGTGTTCTTCAACCATGTCTTGGATAATATAACTGATATCACCAATCGCTATCCCACACCTGACTATGCTATTTTGATGAAGTTCTTCCTACTGTAACTGTATTTGCATCAATCATTCAGAACTTTGAAGAGACGAGGTGTGCAGAGCACCTCCAAATACAAGCAACTGAATCTTATAACCACAGGAACCCTATTCTGCGTTCTAGGTACCACTACCATGGTGACTATTAAGTACAACGCCAGTTGAGGTACACAAGAACAGTCCTCAACTGTTCTCACTAGAAGTCAGGACAATGGATCAACATACACAAGTTTAAAAACACCTCAGAGACTAAGACAAGCTGTTCTTTGTATATATGTAACATGAGGCTAACTCATTCCTTCAAGTTTTTTCAAAGTTAAGAAAACAGAACACTGGAAGAGAGAAAACAATGAACTATAACTATCTGGGGGAGGGAACGATTGTTTACGATATCTTGGCTGAGTATAAACTGTGCTAATGGGAGTAAACTCACAAAATTTAGTTTGAGTGTGTCTGAAGAACAGGGACTTACGCTGAGATTTGCGACATTTTCTTGGGAAGAAGTGATGCAATGCTGTTTTAACTCCCTCAAGGGAAGGGACAAAGAATAAACCTTTTTCCAAAGGAAGGGTGCTTTTTAAGTATTGTCATTTTGACTTTCAGTATACAGATGGCAAAAGTATTAGTCTTACTACTAACAAAAGACAAAGTAAAAAATAGTTATAATACTGCAGCAACCTCATAACAGAGAGCTCAGAAGGGAGACAGAGCCAGATTATTGGAAGCAAATGGTGAAAGGTAACGGGCAGAAGTAGCAATGATGAAAATTCCAACTACGTTCTAGAAACATTTCCTCCCCTCTTTCCCCAGCCCCCCAAAATGTGGCTAGTCAAATATTGGAACAGATAGTCTGCAGAATATCCACTCTGGAAGACAGTCAACACTCATCTGCGTATGACTCTGAACAACCTGATCTAACTTTAAATTTGGCTCCTCCTCTGACCAGGGGGCTGCAACAGATGAACTCCAGAGGTACCTTCCCCAAGTTATTCTGTGATGATAATAAAATACTCTTTTATTTAAAGTGGGCATTGCAAAAGATTAAATATGCCTTCTACACTTACTGCAATGATTCAGTTCTGCATAATTACTTCAATTTTTAAAAAGCAAAATACGTAGGTAAAAATAATAAAATATAATTATGCTGGTAACTTTCTGCATCAACAGTCTTAATCTTGCTATTTCAACTACAATCAAGTCTGCAACTTTTAAAAAGGACAAGTTCTATACTAAATAACGTGGAGATCTAAGTTTTAATTGAACGGTATATTACACAGTAATACCTAGGAACCAGAATATTCATCAGTAGATCCTAGGTTAACGTTTGTAATTTTGCAAGCACAGAACACTCTCCTACACCTAACATCACATGATTCAGATCCTGAAGATGCGTATGTATATGTATTTTTCGATACATATGCATACAGAAGGGTCATAAACTGTTTTCTCCTTGTAATAAAAGGGAAACTTGGAAGCAAAGAATCTTTACTGCAATTCCATTTTTCTCCCCTCTCCTAGTAGCTTGCTTGCAAATAATATAATACTCTACAGCTATCAACAAAGTACTTAAAAATGACTGCCTTAGTGTTTTTAAAATACAGCATCAGTTGGTAAGAACACTTTTATCTTCATTAGAAACGCAACACATTCATAAGTGAACTTCTACTTTTTAATCACCTTCCATTTCTCAACTTTTTTGTCTATGCCTGCTTCTTACGTTTTTGAGTATCACCTGAAAAGAGAAACAAATTAATTAGTGCACGTATTTCAGTTCTGGCCTGTATCCCTAACGGATAGATTCTTTTCTTCACAACTTTATTGTGATACAGTGTTATTCTGAGCTGTCCGATGGCAGCTCAGGACTATTACACCTATTCTCTCTTTTGAGCCAAACATGCTTTTATCACAGATGTCCACAGATGTTAACTGCACTACAATATCAGCATTCGCTTGTGAAGTTCAGTTCAATTGAATATCTATACTGCTCCACAGACACAGGTTGACTAACATATTGAAGACGACTAAGTCAGATGTAAGGACTAAAATAGCCTTCTGTGCCACGTATATGCTATGAACTTACCCCATAATAACGCCGTAAGCTTTTCTCCAAGGAAATAGAATACTAACAACTCAAGGTAGGAAGTGACAAAAAGCAACATCTTTCCAGCTATGTCTAGAACTTCTAAAATTGGGTATACCCAAATACCTGAGGCATAATTTACCCAAAGCATCCTAAGAACAAAGAGAAACAAAGTCTTAAACATGAATTAACCACATCTACATTTTTCTTTAATATAGACTGTTTTATTTCTCAAGTTACACAAATCTTTCAATTCTAAGTTCAGAATAAAATTGGCCCCAGAAATACATCGTTAAATACAACTTAAAGCTACGTGATTTTAATAATTTCCAGTTAAAATATCTTGTTTTGATTCAAAAGTAACCCCTGCTACAATTATCTCTTGTATCTCTGATATATGAAGATAAGAGACCACTACATCTGGCTTCAGAAAATGTAATCAATTAAAGATATTGACATGGGCAATAGAATCCTTGAGATTGACACGGATGACAAGCAAAAAGTACCAATATCCATAAGATGGGTAGTTAGGTGGACACGGATAGCTGGATCAAAGACAGGTCTTCCACTAACTAATGGCAGTCTACTCAGGGTGAAAAAACCAAAGTGTTACTACATTAAATGTACAAGGGGAAAATAAACAAACAAATAAAATGGAAGTTGCAGTAACTGCACATGTTTGAAATTCATTTCTTTCTCAGCCAAAACAATTCCCTACGTTGGCTTTAGGGAAAACTTAAGGCTTCATGTTTAACATGGACGTCAGGGTCATGAAGTGCGTTGTTGAGTGCATTGTGCTGCTTGACAGTAATTAAAGAAGACTAGCATTCAAAGCACTCAAGTTACAATTGTAATCTGTTCCACTTTGTTTTCATCCTTTTTCTGAAAATTCCATTCTTCACTTGTTCTCTAGCCTCACTCAGACTAGCTTTCCTACTAGGATTATCTCTTAGGTATCAAACATTTACCAGAATGTCCCATTTTTGTATAGTCAAAAATCTACATCATCATTAACACTCCACAGAAGTCTTTAAGCATCACAGAGCTACTTTTAAGAACCAGATGAACATAAACTTGGAGACAAATGGAAGAACAAACAGAACAAACATCTGCCACCTCTACACGTTTCATCTGAATTATTTATTGTTGTATTTCTGTGCAAGAGTCAAAGTACATCGCTATAAATGAAACATAAAGAACATAATAAACACAAAGAACATAAAACCTAAGACGACTGCAGGTTCATATTATTAACACATTTTTGTTTAACATGATTCTTTGAAGGAAGAAAAATATTTTACACAAATTTATTTCTGAGGAACAAGGAAGCCTACCATATAAGGTACGAAGAACCAAAGATGCTAAGTCCTATTATTCCATTCAGTTTAGCAGGATATTTATGTGGACATGCTATCAGCTCTATAAAAAGTAACGGCAGTATAGTGGTATGCTAAAAATAAAAACAAATACAAGAGTTCAAGATGGAAAGATAATGCAAATAGCTCTTACAAAATGATGCAATAGAAAACCCTTGGTGTACAGTTGTGATAAAAATATTTTCTTTCACAGTATTCTCTAACAAACATTTTAATCTAATAAGTTTCCTAAAAATCCCCTTTTATGTAAAAATAATCACTAGCTTGCACAAGGCTGTTACACACAGAACAAAAAAATCTGAGTAAAATTTGAGGTACAACATTAAAAAGGATCTAAGATTTAGTAAATATTAAAAATACATATATGATCCACTAAAAAATAGATTTAAAGAACAGTACTTCAAGCACTGCCCTTTGCAAAGAATGGGAACCATCAAGTTAACATCATCACAGCCTTAACTCCTGGCTATGTATGCAGCAGAACTGCATAATCCTACACTAGTTTTTCCCCTATACTGTTTCATCTTTGCCAGTTCTGAGGGTGGAAAGCATTCGGTACACAAGATTTCTTGTATACGAAATTCAGATAGTCTTTCCCCTCCATTACTGTTATTAATTTATGCAGCTTCATTAGTGCGGTAAATTATAGACATAGAATACTTTGGGAGACAAAAGCTTTTTCATCATTCGATTACCTACACTTACAGCTGTGCTGAAACAAAGCTGTATACTAAGCTGTCTGCAACTCAGTGTTTCAGCAAAACCAGTAATTAAAACAACACGTATAACTACAAAAAGTTAAATCCAAAATGCTGAAAAAGCATCAGACTTACCATAGTATGATTCAGCCAGCTTGGATTAACCTCATCCAACTCTTCAGGATATATAAGCTCTCTATTATATGCATATAGAGTCCAAAACGTAACAGCTACAAACTGAAGTTAAAAATAAAAAGAAATAGGATAAGTATTTGCACATTGGAATATTAACAAGGACTACTACACTCATAAAACAACCATTTAAAATGTAACTTTTCATATCTAGTGCTTGCAGAGTGTACATTAAAGCGCTTTATTACTAGCTGCCTCAATTTATTTTCTTCATCTGAATTTGACTTTAGAGTCATGTAAGAACTACTTTAAGTTACCGTACAAGTAAATAACATTTTTGCCAGTTCTACTGCACTAAGTCAGTAGGAAATGTGCTATTCAGCAAGTTCATGACTAATAAGGCATCAAAACTGGTATCCGAGGTTCTTACTGGTTAGTGTCCATGTATGGTTTTCATACTAAGAAAACAAACAGTTCTCATCAATTTTCTACTGGTGGCAAATTCAGAACATGTGGCATCTCTCAGAAATACATAAAACACTGTAAATCAAAAATTATTACAACTGAAAAGACTGTAAAAAAGTTAAACGAAGAATATAGGAGCAACAGCAACTTTTCTTCTCAGCCAATATGTCAACTATCAAAGATATGCATACTATATACCCTCTGACTAAGCAGCTCCCAAATGTATACCGGTATGAGTATCACAGAACAACAACAAAAAAAACCAAACAAACAGCTGAACACTCCCCTGAGCATAGGGGCACAAACACAAACTGATGTTGCCAGATACACCAGCAACAGAAGCGGCAGGCACAGTGAATTCTAAGTAAATGAATGAAAAAAGAACTGCACAAAGCCTCATTAAACAGAGAGCTCAAAGACATCCCAATATGCAGAAGTAACTGAAATTACGTTAATTCAGTTCCCTAGAAATCAGTGCTTGTGCCTTATAATAAAGGTGTATTTTGGCATTAGCCATTAATAGGTACAGCTTAAACTTATTCCTTGCTGATATAACCAAAATTAGAGGAGTACTTTCAAAACCATCCAAACATACATACATCATCACACACTTAAATAAAAACAAGAATTAACTGCAACAACCCGTAAGAAGGCCCCTATTTTAGGAAAGTAACGCTGTATATTCTCTTTAGTTTAATAATTATTCATGGGATTATTTCTCTTTATGAGGAGCATGGACTAAAAAAAATTGTTTGTAGAATTAGGACTTACTTATGCAAACTCAGATACTGAATCTTTTGTGCTTACTTAGAAAACACTTTTTCCTCATGAGATAAAAAGCCTACCTCATCTACCTGGAGACTTTTTAGAAAGGCCTATATTTAGAGTATGGTATGTAGTGTGTTTTTTAATTATTAGTCTTTTTATTGTTATCTTCTGGAGAATCTAGTCAGTACAGACATGTGTTCCAAAAACTGCAATACTAAAAAAGTAATTTCAGCGAATCTGTTTTCCGAAACATATCGGTATGAACAGAAAGAAAAGAGAACAACTGTTAGCCTCACTAGAACACTTAGGATTTTTGGCAACTGAATAAAATGGGATCATACCTGTCAGCGTTATTAAGTTAAACTGAACACATCCATTTATTCTGTCTTTTCAGAAGTTGCTCGAGAAAGTATTGAGGGCTCCAATAGTTCACAGAAACTACTTACTAAGCCAACAGGGAATACCAGCACCGAGAAGATGAAGTCTTTCACCGGTAACAGCCTGGATGACACGCTCTTCTTTTTGGCAGTCGTGAATGTAAGTACAACATCAATTATGACACATATCCCAAATAATAAAGTTTGTAGAATCTAAAAAATTAAAGAAAGTTTTAAGAAAAGGGCTTTGTTAGTACTTTATTTTTGCTGTATTCCAATTTTCCAAACAAAAAACGTGGAGGTACATAGAAATTGCTTGTCCTCGAAATTACTGGCATTCTTTTCCCACTTGCCTTAAATCTTCATCACCAATCTACAGCTTTCAGCACGTGTATTTAGTAATATTAGAGAGGTCACAAATATTTTGAAGGAAAAATAATCAATTGCAACTTTGACATCTTAACTGGTCCATTACATAACCTGGAAGTCTAACACCAACAAGTCTTCCACTGACTCAACGTTTACTTACAGAGCCTAGTGTCAGCCCACAAGCTCGAGGAGCCCCGACAGCTCCTTGTATCTGGTAACTACATTGTCAGACTACAGATGTGTTCAAAGTGCCCAGACCAGTGCAAGCTGTCCAGGTCTAAACAGCTCATGAGCAGCCTAGGAGCAGCTGAGCCAAACCAGGGATTTAGTCCTCAGCTCTCCCTGTGGAAACATTCCCATTCCTCCATCCCGACTTCCCGCTACAACCCACCTCCCGCGCAACCCTGCATCAGGCCACAGCAGTCAGCTCTTCTCTCACTCAGCAGTAAAACGAAGGATTTTTTTTTTTTTTGGTTTTAAAGAAGAAGAATACACAGAATACACGGCGCTAGGGAGCTAGTCTCCTGAAAAGTACCCAGCTGCTTTAGTCACTGTGTGACACAGCTCTTCGAAGAGCACCGGGAAGGAGCCCGCGCTGCCTGGCGATTTCAAGTCCCCCTCCTCAGCCGCGTGACTCGCTCTTGACACCCTCTTCTCTCCTCCTCCCCAATCGAGGAAACTCTCACTTCAGCTTAACCCTAGTTAGCACGGCACCTCGCACCAAACGGCAGCTCACGCTCCCTCCCGGCCGTTATCTCCTCTCCGGCCCCGGCCGCGCCCCGCCCGGCCTCCCCCACCTGGTTGATGAAGGTCAGGTATTTCCAACGCCCTCCGTAGGTGTCGTCGCTCTCCCTGCGGGCGGAATTAGGCAGACCCACGTTCTGGCAGAGGGAAAACAGAGCCCACAGGAAGCAACACACGTGGACAACCACGACGAGCCACCGGCCCTGCAGCGCCCCGGCCATGTCCCGCAGGTCTCGGCG